AGTTGTCTATTGGGCCTAAAGTCCAACCAGTCAATGTATGGCATCTGGCAGCTCTCATACTTCATTTCTCCTTTGCATTACTCAGCCTGTTATACAGTAACTCCTCACTTAACGTTGTCCTGGTTAACATTGTTTCATTGTTATGTTACTGATCTATTAGGGAACAAGTTTGTTTAAAGTTGTGCATGCTCACTTATAACGTCGTCTTTTGGCAGCTGCCTGCTTTGTCCACTGCTTGCAGGATTCTCTGGAAGAGCAGCCCCTCCCTGTGGGGATTAGAACCAGGGGGGCCAGCAGCCCCCCATCAGCTCCCCTAAATTCCCTGTAAGGTATATGGCTCCACAGCTGCCCAGCAGCAGTTCAGCTGTCCCTCCCCCCACTGCTGTGCTGCTCCTGCCCTGCCCTCAGCCTTGGAGCTGCTCCCCAGAGCTTCCTGCTTGCTGGGGAGAGGGGGAGAAAGGTGCAAATATCTGGATGTCCCCCTGCTCCTGCCCCCTGCTCTGTACCCCCTCTCCACAAAGCGGAGGAGAGGGACAGAAAGGAGGGAGCTTTCTGGAAGCTGTTGCTTCCTGTCTGAACTGGCTGATCTGCTTAAAAGGGCAACGTACTTTAAGTGGGGTCAGCATACTTAAAGGGGCAATGCACGTCTCTCTCTTTCACTCATGCAGGCACCCCCCAGCACGTTGGAAAGTCAGCACCGGTGCAGCTGTGCATGTGCTGTCAGGAGGAGGGAGTGGTGCGCTCCAGTTGGGTAGCGTGGGCTCATCATCATGTTCAGTTTTTGGAGTTTTGCAGCTACTGCCCTGCATCTATTGTGTTTCCTCCCTCCTGCCTCAGTCCGTGCTGCCTTGTAGAGTGTGAGGCTACATTAACAACAGTGTATTAACCCTTGAGGGCTCAGCCGAGTGCTAGTTCATCATTTAGCAGCAAGGCATTCCCTGGGAAATATTCCACCCTCTTACTCCACCACCTCAACCAAGCTTCACAATCATTCATTGCTGTGTACAATATTAAACTGTTCGTTTAAAATTGTTTACAATTTATACTGTATATGTATATAATGTCTTTTGTCTGGCAAAAAAAAATTTCCCTGGAACCTACCCCCTCCCCCATTTACAGTAATTCTTATGGAGAAACTGAATTTGCTTAACATCGTTTCACATAAAGTCACATTTTTCAAGAACATAACTACAATGTTAAGTGAGGAGTTACTGTATATTACATGTATGATTCTTAATAGATTATATATTCAGTAAAGTTTTTCCAAATAAATTATAATTTGGCCTTTTTACCGTCCACAATATTATACATCCTTGCCATGGGTGTGAGTTTATATGTTTTTTAATCAATCCCAAATAGAATAGGGTAGGCCAGCCCTACAAAGCAAAGTTATTTTCATGAATTTAGCAAGGAAAACAGTGATGTGAATGAACTTTCTTTCTATTTAAATCATTGACAAGTGGAAGTGGTGAATATGTTTAAGACTATGTTTAAGGCAGTGAGAGCATTTGTAAGGGATCCCTGGATCCAGATGTTTTGGCATCTGGATATAAGTAACTGCATTGACTTGTGTCCTGCTGAATTAAGCTCCTGAAGCCTACTAAGTAACTACTGCTTTTGATTTATTTTCATATGTTTTTTTCTTTACCTTTTTAATTCAATTCATTTTAATTCATGAAACAGCAAAGTTCATTGTGGTAAATTGCATGTACAGCCTAACTGATATACCTCTGTACAGCATAATCCTACACAGCCTACTACAGCAACTTTAAAAAAATATATAAAGTCTCATTTTAATCTGAATGTTTAAATAGACTAGAACTTCTGGCTACTAGAGTTAAAGGTCATGCTGTGTCACAGAATAGGTAATCTTCTCTAGCTTTGAAATAAGATCCTTGGATATTTCCATGATCTTGACTTCATAAGGATTTAATCATATTTAATGACTCCAACAGTAACAAACACATAAAATGTATTGTTTTTGTAGATTTGCTTTTTTAAAAAAATAATTGACAAGAACAGACTCTGTGAGAGAAATAGAGTATGTAGGAACAGAGAGCTTCTACACATTTTAATAATTTTTATTTTAATGGGTTTTATCTTGAGAAGTTTTAAGGTATCTCTTCTTTATCAAGATGCAACCTTCAAAGATAAACTGTTTGATTTTTGGCCTAGTTTCTAAATATGAAGATTACTGTAAATTGTCTTGTTTATAAGAAGAATGGTGATACCTGGCCCATCTTCTCATCTTTCTTCTTTTTCCTTTATGCTGTTTTTCCTGGTGAGGGTCGCAGTGGCAGCATGGAGAGTAGGGAGGACCAGACCTCCCTTTCCTCTGCAACAGGTTCCAGCTCGTCCTGGGGGATTCCCCAGCATTTCCAGGCCAGCTGGGAGATACAATTCCTCCAGCGTGTCCTGGGTCAGCCTCGGGGCCTCCGCCCAGTGCCTGGTAGAGTTCCAATGGAAGCCTCCTAGGGGGCAGCCTTATCAGGTGCCTGAACCACTTCAGCTGGTTCCTCTTGATCCAGAGGAGTACCGGCTCTACTCCGAGGGTCTCCTAAATAGCTGAGCCCTCACCGTATCTAGGAGAGCAAGCCCAGCCACCCTGCAAAGAAACCTCATTTCTGCCACTTGTACCTGCAATCTCATTCTTTTGGTCATTATTCAAAGTTCAGGACCATAAGTGAGGATGGGGACACAGGGCAACCTGTAAACAGAGAGCTTCGACCGAGAACTCAGCTCCTGCTTCACCACCAAGTATAGGTACAGCATCCGCATCACTGTCATCGGTGCACCAATCCTCCGGTCAATCTCCCGCTCCCGCTTACTATCACTCGTGAACAAGACCCATAGATACTTGAACTCTTCCACTAAGGGCAGCCGTTCCTCATTTACCTGGAGAGAGCAGTCCAGTTCCTTCCAGAAAAGGACCAGGACCTCCGATTTGGAGGTGCTGATTCTCATCCCAGACACTTCAAACTTGGCAGCGAAACATTGAGTGTGTGTCGGAGATCACATCTGGTCCTAAACTGTTCAAATTTATTTTTATCTTGCTGATGGATGAATGCTCAGAGGCTGGTAGTTGCTAGGGTCTTTTCAATCCATAATCTTTATAGGATTTGGGGTCAATTTTCCATAAACTGGTTACATAATGTCATGTCAAGACTTTTTCACATGGACATGGCCTTGTCAAGTTCAAGTAAGAGTGGCCTCTGTTCTGTATTTTCTATTTTATTTATTTATGTATTTATCGGAGGGTGGGTGTCACGGACCTAGTCTCTGTGGTATGCAAAGCAATGATTTTTTTTTTTCAAATGGTGGCTAAAGCAGGACTTTCCCAAAATCAAAGCTCACTAACAATGACCTAATTTAAACAATAACTGGCCAACTTGTGTGGCTCCAGACTTGATTTGCTCAGAGGCTTTCAAGGGCGGCACTGCAAGGTGGAGTAAGCAAAGATTAAAAACTATAAGACATTAATAGAAGGCCAAGAAGCCTTGGTTTTTTGGGTCAGCAAACCACCTGAGGGATGACTGACATTCCTGAAATCCTAAAGTCAACCACCTTAGAGAAAGGAAGCCAATTCACCTACACGAAGGCTACACCAGCCTTTGACCCGTCTCCCTGCACATGAAGGATGCCACTAAGTGTTGTGCCATTAGCTGCTGGACTGCAATCAGCTCCTGTTCTGTGACAATCCAGAAGGCCATGAAAACTGAAGTATTTGCAATCTCCTTGTTATTTTACGTATCTTATTTTTCCTTTTTCTAATATTGTCCTTTGCTTCTA